GGTTCGGGTCAGGAGAAAAATGGAGAAAGTCCTTCAATTCACCCTTGGAAATAAGCTGTCCATCCCCCACCCTTGAAAGACACAGAAAAGGACAAGGTTTGGAGATCAAGTTAAATGTCCAATTTATTTTTTATAACTTGAAACCAGAACAAACTTGGTTTTGAACAAGCGTACAAATGAAATGGCAGACACATGCTGAACTCAACATCGTGACATTAAGGGAAAAAAGAGGCCCAAAATCTTGTACAGAGAATAAAAGGAACAATAAATATTTTACTAAGCCATATTGAAATGACCTCCCGTCATCTCAACATTTTATCCACAATTAAAAAAAAAAAGTGCCCGTTTCTTCAACAGAGCACAAATACCAAGCAATAATAAATAGTTCCAAACTTGTAGTAAAAGACAGAACCTCCAAGTAAACAACAAAAGCTCATACAATAAGTAATAGAAAAGGTAATAAAAATATTTTGCCTTGCCAATACAAATGCAAACAACTGAAATCAATGGAACTTTGCTTTGCAGCGCTGAGATACAAAGAGCACCGAAATCGGGGGGTTGCCTGCGCTCGACGCGACCTTCGACTGGCTGTCCCTTGGGACCGGGATGAAAGGCTGATTTCCTTGACTTTTCACATTTTCCCTACAGTTCAGCCTCCTCCTCTCCCCATGAAAGACCCTCTCATGGCAAGTGGCAGGTTCCAACTGGGGGCAACTTGGACCAGAGGGGTGGCAGTGTGGACGCCCACCTGCCGTCGGCGGGGCCGCCCAGGCTGGGGCCTCTCCCAGCAGCAGGTATTGGCTGGAGTGTTGGCTTTTTATACAAGAAAGAGACGCAAAATGCTCTTTCCTCTGCCGTCGCTGGACGGAGACACAATCTTTGTGCTTTAGGATGGCTTAGTCCTGGCATTCGGGTGACTTGGTGTGAGCAGGTAAGAGCTGGCTGCGTGTATAACTACAGGGGGTCGCCTGGGAGGCTCTCGAGGACCGTACCCGGGCAGCCCATGGGTCTTGGGGCCAGGCAGGTAGGAAGCTGGCATCTCAGCTTTAGCTCCCACCCCTTCCCCCTTCTTCTGACTTAGCAAAGGTTAGTGGCAAAGGAGGAAAGAGCCTATGAAACAGAGAAGCCCCCAGAAGAAAGATTTCTGCATTTGGCCAAGAATTGCCCAAAAGGATGCTTGGTTAGACTTTCATAACCTGAAATAATGGTTTCTTACAGTTCCTGAAATAAAAAATGGCTTCCTGATATAGGTATTTTTTTAATGTATTATTCCCTCATCCAAAAAACTACCACTTTATAATCTTAAAGCTACTTGGCTTTACAAAGAAAAAAAAAGGGAGGAGACAAAAAATAAATAAAAACGAAAGGAACAGATACAGGACCAACAGAGGCTGGAGGATGGAGAGGAAACATGAGGGGGGGAGAGAGAGAGAAAGAGAGAGAGAGAGAGAGACGGCAAGGCACCGAATTCATCCCAGGGCCTAGGCGCTCGGAAAGGGATGGACTGTAGGTTTCGGAAAGCGAAGCAGCAGAGCAGGTAAGAAAGACAACAGGCCAACACTCTCCATGGAATGAAAGGTCCCGGTGGCGAGGGTGCTCCCTCCTGAAATCCAATTTGCGCTGGTCTCAGCGGCAGATCTCTCGCCACCTGTGCCCAGCTGATAGGCCAGCTCCTTTTGTTACATTCTTTCTTTGTTTAACGTTTTGTCAAGGGCTCAAGGAAGCTCGGTTTGCATTTCTTTCTGCTCTTAAGGGCGGGAGAGGTGGCGGTGGTGGCGGTGGTGACCGCCACAGTGGGGACAGTGGAGAAGGAAGATGCTCATGGCTCTCAGCAGCTGACAGCGTACAGATGGCCTCTGAGAGCAAGGGGGGCTCTGTGAGATGTTACCGACACCGTAACAAAACCTGACTTTCCCACTCGTCACAGATACAGGATTCCCCGTCCGGGCTGCTGCAGCTGCCCCAGGGAGCCTTGATGCAAGGTTCGGGCTGCGTTCGGAGGGAAGCCCAGCTCCGACATCCCTTCGCGTATAGGCCAATTCCGTCAAAAATATATACAACTAAAATGATTTGTGAACCAAAGCGTTTCACTACTTCCTTTTGTTTCTTTTCCTCAAAGGTTGTCAAACAACCCTTTTTCTCCTGTACAATAGGACTTAACATACAAATTTTTTTTTGCAATATTTTATCCTGCCAAATTAAAAAAATATATTATGGCAGCCTGTTTGTTTTTGTTTTTTTTCTTTTTATTTCCAAATTCACTAACAAAAAGGTACATTAAATCCCTTTAAAAGGACAAGCTTACAGTTAAAAAATTACAAGCTCCAGTAAAAATACAGCAAGTGCCCACATCATATGAACCAACCAATATATCCATTCCAGAGGGAGGTGGGAAGAGAAAAATAAGTACAGGTCAGAAATGTGATTTTTTTTTTTCTGCAAAGCAATAACAATATTAAGCACTTTTTTTCTACATACTTTTTCTACATGGTGTAGCAATCCCCTTTTAATCCCCAAATACAAGTTTCTATACATTTTTTTGAAATAAAAATTCAACACCCAAGGCAGAAAAAAATTTACTAAAACTCCGACTTTACAGTTACTGTGACAAGAACAAATTTATAGACCCACCATTTAAATTTTACTGCAACATTTTCAAGGAAAAGGAAAAAGTTTTTTTTTTCTTGTTTTGTAAAATGCCCAGGCATTCTCGATTATTACAAATACTGGTCCACTTTTACAGTAATCAAGAAATTTTAATATATATAATATATACTAAAACCCCGTCACCAAAAGAAAACAATATACACGCAGCCACTGTGGCATTTTTTTAATAACCTATTAAGCAAACTTTGAAAAAAAAAAAATCTCTCCAACACACATACACACAATTTTTTTTTTTTACCCTTGTATGTATCCAATACTGTAAACGTATTTTTAAGACAGAGTGCACTAAATTTAACTTTAGGAAAAAAAAATGAGCCATTGTTCCTGAATTGTTTTTTTTGTTTTGTTTTTCATTCAACGATATCAACTTGTAACTTGTGTCACTTGAGTTTTAATTCAGCAGTAAATCACCTCCACTCCACAACTAAGCAGCGTTGTCCCACAAACAAAAAGGGCTGAGGATCGTTCAGCTAACAATGGATGTCCAAGGTTGTGCTGGGTTTATTTCTTCATTTGATTGGGTCTTATGGCATTTTCATGTCCTCTATCTTCAACCAGGAATTTTTAAAATTTATTTAAAGTAAATGTGGCTTTGTTTGTGTCTAAAGAATGTACTTTTCTTGTTTTACTTTTTAAAAAAGTCTTTTCATTTCAAAAAAAAAAAAGTTTTGCATTTGTCTCAAGAGACTGAAATAGGAAGATCAGTTTTCAAGGCACTCACATCAAATCGATTGGCAGTAGAAAAACTGTCCAATAAGTTACTATTTTATCTTGTTCTTTATAGTGCCAGTATTGTGAATGCCACGCTTAGCAACACTGACACTCAATCTCAGCCGTCCCTTACAGTTTAACCCACCTCTGGGCCAAAGAGAAGAATATGTTGCAATTTCTTGTTGAGAAGCCATTTAATTTAAATGCAAACAAAAGCTTTAAAGTGCGGGTCAACAGAATTCAAACACCTAATCTCAACAGTCCAATGTTTAGTACCTTCCAACCTAATGGGACAGAAGAAAAAGAAAAATTGGGAAGTAGCGCTGGGCACCTTGGGATGGAACTTTGCCTGCCCTCCCCGTGAAAGGGTGCAGAAATTCACAAGCTTTCCCCCCCGTCCATACAATGTCATCAGTGTGCATGAAATGAGAGCACTAACTTCCCTCAATTCACCATCAGGGCACTTGTCTGCTTGAGAAACGATCAACCCATTATCACACGTAGCAAAGCAGGACGTGGGATTCTCGTGGTGGGGGTGGCGGAGGAGGGGAGCAGAGGGAGAGGGAGAGAGAGAGAGGGAAGGAGAGAGAAGCTGTCAAGCCAGAAGCGGCCTGAAAGAACACCTCTGGTCTCTTCCTTTCTGTGTCACTGCAGGCCATCACCACCTACCCCCCAAAAGTACCCTCAGCCCATTTTATTTAGCCTGGTCTACAGCAAAATAGCCAAGATGGCATCCCAGGGCACACCCGCATTTCAAGAAGGGGAGAGTATCTGCTGGTAATGCGCAATTATAGAATCCTCTGGGCCATTTCTCCCCCCCGGGGGGGGGGGGCCCTCAAAAACTCTTAGTTCTCTGGCAGTGCGGAGTTTTCGGGCCCCTCCCCCACCACTCCAGGTTCCCCTCGTGGAAGTCATGGAAAGGTTGAAATCAACACAGAAAAGGCCTCTGTTACTCAGGACATCATCAGTGCTACATCTCCACTCCAATTCTGAAACAAAGTGCTACAACTTTAAAGATTGTTATCCGCTGTACACCCCCCCCCCCAAAAAGAAAAAAACGCATGCCACTTTTTATTTCAGGACCAAAAAAAGGAATAAAAAAGGTAAACAACTTTAAAAGTCATTTAAGTGTTGGCTTCTTCACAAGAAATTACACATGCTTAGCTTAAATTTCAAAAAAGCAGCGCCCTCCCCCCGAAATTATAATTTAAAAGATATGCTTCCCCTCTAACATTGCTTGCGAGTCATTGCTCAGGCTACTACTGGGTTAAAAAAAAAAAATGAAGAAGGGATGGATACCCAACAGAATCTTTTAAAGGAATTTAAACAAAAAGAATAATAATAAAAAGTACCTGCACATGCCAAAAAAAATTACAAAACCCAATAAATACAGAAATTATTGCACAGTTAAAAGGCTCCACAATTTTGACTGCCTTAACAACCCTCGGGTTTCCATAGGACTTCGCAGACACAGGTTAGGTTGGAGGGCCGCCTCCCCTGGGCCCCAGGGACACGCGGGGTGCTCAGTGGCGGTGACACGGAGGCAAGTGTCAGGTCAGCATTCTGTCGCTTGGCAACGGTTCCACTGTACAGGTGCGGGGCGCCCACCCGCGCGCACGCGCTTAGCTCCTTTCGGCCTGCTCGATTTTGACGTCGTTAGTCAGCAAGTGCTCGCCGTGCCACTTTTTCATGTGTTTCTCCAGGGTGCTGTAGACGCTGAAGGGCATCTGGCAGATGTCGCAGCGGTACACCTCCTTGCCGATCTGCCCGTGCGTCTTCATGTGGCGCGTGAGCTTGCTGCTCTGCGCGCATGCGTAGTTGCACAGCTCGCACTTGTAAGGCCGCTCGCCGGTGTGGCTCCGCCGGTGCACCGTCAGGTTGCTGCAGTTCTTGAACACCTTGCCGCAGTACTCGCACGTGTCGCTGCGGCGGCCCTCCTTGGAGCTCGGCCGCCCGGGGCCAGGGCCGCCCAGGTGTGGCGTGCTGCCGCCGCTGGCCGTGCCGCTGCGGCCCGACAGGCCGCCGTCCAGCAGGTCCCCGGGCGGCGTGGAGAAGCGGAGGCTGCCGTTCTCCGACGAGTGCTCGGACGACGTGGCGAAGGGTGACTGGCGCGCATCCGTGAAGCCCAGGAAGGGGTCCTTCATGAAGTGCCGCGACGCCGCGTAGCCCACCAGCCACTGCGAGTACACGTTCTCCGACGGGATGAGCGCGGCGGGCGGCAGCTCCAGGTCCTTCTCCACTTTGATGCGCTTGGCCGCGCTGTTGAGCCCGGGGCTGGGCAGCGGCGCCGGCTTGCGCGGGAAGAGGCCTGGGAAGGGCTCGGCGCCTGGCGCGAAGCCACCGCCGCGCCCGTTGACCGCGCCGCCCGGGCCCGCGTCACCACAGCCGCCCGCGTCATCGTCATCACCCGTGTCGCCTGCTGCGCGCTTCAGGAAGGCGCCGCGCTTCTGCTTCTCAGCCAGCAGGTCGCTGTACTGCGGCAGCGCGCCCAGGCCCACGTTCTCCATGACCTTGCCCAGCACCAGTGCCTTCTCGTCGGCCAGCGCCTTGGCCGCACCGCCCACTCCGGCCGCGCCTGGAACCCCGGCCACCCCAGCGCCGCCATTCTCCCGGTTGCGGCTCAGCTCTGAGTCCATGCTGAAGCTCGACTCTGGCCGGCTCTCGTTCTCCAGCAGCAGCTCCTCCTCTTCTTCCTCCTCCTCCTCGTCCTCCTCTTCGGGCTCGTGGCCCAGCGACGGGTCGCTCTCGTGGTGGCGGAAGTCGCCGCCCGCCTTGAGCCCCTCGCCAGTCAGCTCGCTGGTGCCGGGCTCCGGGGAGCTGGCAGCCGAGAGGCCGTCGTCAGAGCGGCCGGTCAGCGAGCCGGCCTTGTGCATGTGTGTCTTCATGTGGCGCTTGAGCTTGCTCGCCTGCGAGCACGCATGGTCGCACAGCTGGCACTTGTAGGGCTTCTCGCCCGTGTGGCTGCGCCGGTGCACGATGAGATTGCTCTGGAACTTGAAGGTCTTGCCGCAGAACTCGCACGACTTGCTTTTGGCGGGCGGCTGGGGCGGTGGCGTGCCGCCGGGGGCCATGGGCGGCAGCGGTGGCGTGCTCAGGAACGGGGACTTGGGGCTGGGCTGGAAAGGGTTCAGGAGCCGGTGCATAGGGTTACTGCGGCCTGGCGACACGGGCGGCGGTGTGGAGCTGTTGCCCGCCAGCTCGCGGAGCCGCCTCGAGAAGTCCATGGCGGGCGAGTCGATGGCCATGGGGTTCAGGCGCATGACTCGGTCAAAGGCACTGGGGTGCTGGGCGACGAGCCCCATCTCCTCGGCACTGAGGCGGTGCGGGTCCAGGTGGTGGCGCGGCGGCGGGCTGAAGAGGGGTGGCGTGCCTGGCAGGCGGCCCTCCCCGAAGCCTGGGTGGTCCCGCAGGATGGGGCCCGTCATGCGCAGCAGGTTGAAAGGGTTGCTGTCGCCCAGGAAATTCATAAGCGGGGACTGGGCCACGGCCTCGGGCCCCAGCGGCGGCGGGATGGTGAGCCGCGGCGTGAGGGAGCTGCTGGCCGGCCCGGGCTCCAGGTAGATGCGGAAGCCATGCGTGTTCTGCGCGTGCTGCAGCAGGAACCACGCGCTGTTGAAGGGCTGCTTGCATGTTGTGCAAATGTAGCTGGAAGGCTCATCTTTACCTGGGGAGACACACGGACAGAAAGGCAGAGAAGAGAGCGTGAGAAGCGGCCCGGGGCGTGCGTACCGTGGGACCTCTGACCTGAAAGCACGCGTGTGAAAGGCCCAGGCCTGCGCGTGGCGTGGCAGACCCTCGGGCCAGGCCGTGTGTGCTCCAGCTGCCTGCAGGCTTCTGCCAGCCATGTGGGCAGGAGGCCCTGGCCAAGCCGAGGCAGGCCGTAGGACCTCAGCTAGTCACTTCAATTCCGTATATCTCAGTTTGCACCCCTAAGGAAAAGGCATCGTGTTCCCATTAGCTCCGAAGCCAGATGAGATGTGTTTGTGAGGACACCTGATTGCAGCAACAGGAATGGTATCAGGCTCGGACTGTGAGAGCCCCGGCCGCACCAGGCAGCCCTGGGGTGGAGACGGTGTCAACCAAGGCATGACTGACATTTAGATCCAGGTAATTCTTGGTCACAGGAGCGGTCCTGTGCACGGGGGGATGTTCAGCAGCATCCCTGGCCTCTACCCACCCGAAGCCTGTAGCGCCCTCTCACCCTCAATCACTAAGCTCGAAAACCTCCCCAGGCATTACCAGGTGTCCCCAGGGAGGCAAAACCAAATCCCCGCACCCCTGAGTGCCACCGATGACACAGTATTTGATCCAAGGAAGTTCTAAAAACGCAAGCACTGAAAACACTTTTTAAAGAGAAATGGCTGATACCTCTATGTCGTTTGGAGTTTTAGCTCCAGGAAATTGTAGGGATTCATACATCAGCATCGGTGCAGAAAGCGCTGTCTGACTTAAACACGGACAGGGACGGAAGGAACTTCGCATGTTATGAAGATCGCTACTGTGTGGTGACTGCCCTATCGTGGCCTCTCACACACACCCCTGCCGCTGTGCAGGGTCTGGCCTCCACAGAGCCCCGCCCCCCACCCAGGAGGGGGCGAGGTGGGGGCCCCTGGTCCTCATGAAGTCCTTTGCCAGAAAAGTAACCGAATGAAAGCATGTCAAGCCTGATAGTGCAGCCAGAATGAACGGCAGTGAGCACAGGTGTGTCACACAGTGGCTCTGGTGACATCGGGAGCAAGCCGCCACAGACACGGATGGCACAGAGCCAAATGGCAAGGTCTTGTCCGTCATTGGACCGTCATAAAATGGAAGCCAAACCCGCCCCGCGGCCGCCTTCCTCGGCCTGCGGTGAAGCGGCTGCTCTTCCAGTCGGGGCCTCTCCCAGGGCCTCATGTACAAGGGACGGGCGTGGGCAGGCCTGCCCGCTGCCCTCGGAGCTGCTCGCCGGCCAGGAAGGAAGAGGAAGAAGACACCACAGCCGCCATCCTGAAGCACCCCTCTTGTTTTTCCCAACTTCCCTGCGCCCTGGAGATTTCAACTCTGATGGAGCACCGCAGCCACACACTCCGTGGTGACCGTGACCGATGTCAGTTTGGTGAGGCGAGGTCCCGCGGGGCTGAGCCACGATGACAGCCCCTCGCCTCGGCCTCTCTCAGGTCCGTTTAAGGACCTCTGAACCCCGTGCCAAGATTTATTTGTTGTGTCCCACCCATGAATCCTATTTCTGGGGGCTGCACCCTTAGCAGTAAAAACCAAGCGACTCAGGGACCATACGCCGTGAACCACGCGCAGGTGGACCGGGCCCGACAATGGCCGAGGGGCCGGAGCCCCCGCGCCAGGTGGTGTGGGCAGTGGCGCAGAGCAGCACCACGCCATCAGCGGACAGGGTGTCAGTTCTCCCAGCCCTCAGACCCACGGGGCCGGCACACCCACCTCCGACACCAAGGGCGCGCCTTACAGGTTTGCTGCCACTGCCGTCTCCTCTGCCGTGTCTGTGAGTTTGGTGGTCAGGAGACCACTGGGCAGGGAGGACAGAAAAGACAAAAAGAACTCGCAAGTGCAGTTTCACGTCACTTTGAGGAGCAGCTCAAGGAGAGCTTCTGAGTGAGACCGTCGTCTTTCTCCAGGGCATCTGGGTCACCTCCCTCTCCCAGCACGTCAGGTAACTCAGTTCCCCACGCTGGGGCCCCAGAAGAGCTCCCCGCACCTGGAAAGGGGCGGGGCAGCGCAGTGGGGGGAGGGGAGTTTCCCTGGCAGCCCAGCTGGCCCTCTCCGCACGCCACTCAGCTGGCAGAGAAAGGGCGGCACGCTCTCCTGTCCCCAGCTTGTCAGCTACTGTGCGTGGGGAACCGAACCGTTCACCTCCGACGGTCTCACAGGAGAACTGGCCCGAAGCCGTAGTCAGAGGCGTGCTCCAACCTTCTTCCGGAGCGAGGCCAAATAAGTAATAAATACGAAGCAGGTAAATAAAAGTCCCTTCCTAACACAGAAGCTAAAAAGGCAAACGAAGGGCCACATCCCACGAGGTCACAGATCTTCACGTTAGAGAGCGCGTCTCTGCCCTTCGCCTCGGCTTCGGCACCGCCACGCATCGAGCTGCGGCAGATGCTGCTCTGAGGCTCCGTGCTTCTCGGCCGGACCCCTACCCTGCCCCCGCACCCCAGTCTCTCTCTTCACCGTCTCCATTTCCTCACGTATCTTCACTGCACTTCCTGTTTCTTGTTCTGATGGCCACACATTTTCTAGAAAGTTCTATAGCTGGTGAGGCATGTGGCTAGCGAAAGGAAATTCAGAGCCCCTAGGCAGGCCAGGGCTGAGGACTGCTGTACCACCGAAATGGCCGACGAAAACATTTTTTAAAAATAAACTCAAAATGGCAGCTGCTGGGAAACGTGTGGCTACATGTTCCAAACAGCTCAGATGTTTCCACTTCTTGTTTTAAAAAAAAGAGGGGAAGACACTTGTAAATCTCCAACAGGGAGCAGCCCAGGGAGGAAGTTACCTGCCCATAATTCACCATCGGGTGTCTCCATCAAATCGGATTTCAGGGCCGTTCGCCATGCCCGGAGGAGCTCTTCCTTTTCCTGCACCCCGAAACTGCTCAGGCTCCCAGGCTCCCCTTCTCGCAGTGGGGACAATCCCTGCCAGGGGCCTGACTTCCCAGGATCTGCTGGCTTCCGATTTTTCAAAACTCTCCCAGCCCTCAAAGGCCCTCCCTAGGCAGCTCTCTCTCCACTCTGCCCCCTTCTCTTTTAATACAACGTTCATTCCCACATTACCATTCCTGCTTCTCTTGCCCAGAAGTAGCCCTGAGCTACTGAACTGAACAGTGCCGGAAAGTCTTCGAGAGCCACGTGGAACATGCTTCCACTCGAAAACTCACTATTTTAAACTCATGGCCCACGCAGGCATGGACGGTTCATTTGTACAAGCAGCAGACGACCCGGGGTCACAGGGTTGGCCCGCGTGCCTTCCTGGGACCAGAGGTTTCCTCGCAGTCACCTGATGTGTCCTGCAGCTCAGGACCACCTGCCCAGGTGAACTGGGGCCTCCACCAGGTGAGGACACCACCAGGGACCCCCGACAGGATGCTAAGACTGCAAACTGACGGGTCGATTACTGTGAAGCGACTTTCCCAGCAACATGAAAGGCGGCCCACAGACCTAAAAACGTCCAGCTGCATTTGAAGCGATAGGTCAGGCGTGGTGAACCCAGGACCTGCCTCTTTCCTCGCTTCCCTCCTTCCTTCCTTCCTCAGACATTTTGAATATCAGTGGATATTTACTAGATAGAACTAGATATCACCACGCTAGAACTTCTTCGCTCTACAGGCTCTAGAGGGAGCCCCTTGTGTTTTTCGCAAGCTCAAAGCCCTCCCCGTGGTCTCCCGGGGCGAGAGGGCAACGGGGGCTCCTGCCTGTCCACACCCAGAGAGAGGAGTCCACCAAGTCGGTCAGCTCTCTCAGTCTCGATTTCCTTCTCAGCAGAATGGGAACAGCAGACCTGGGGGGCCAGGTGCGACGCCGGGTAGGAACGCGCCCTACAGGGCTGCACGTTCCTACGCAGGCATTACGGCCTGGGCTTCGCGCGGCTGGCTCTCTAGAGCCCGGCTCCCATCTCACACTGGGTGTTCCACGGGTGCCTTTCCGTGTGGCGCTGGCGGTAACAAAGCCCTGGAGGAGCTCGAACGCAGCCCCCCAATGCACTCGGCGCTCCCGGGAAGCAAACCTCATTTTTTATTGTGACGCTTGGGAACGGACACGCAACTGGAGCCCTGCAGTGAAATGCGACCCTCCCTCTGCTATTACGTTTGTTTTCTTTTAATGAGCATTGCAATAATTTCCTCCTCATTATGCCGGTAACTCTAATAGTGCCAATGAGGGTATCAGGGATGTTCAATTAAAAAACACACCTTTCGTTGAGTTACCATTATTCCGTCCAAAGGCCGTCACTGAGAGCAGGAGTGCAACGGGTCTCCTCCTGAGGCCGAGCGACTCCCGTGGAAAGGCACCCTGCCTGCAGGAGACAGTCGCTCCTTGCTGCTCAAAAGGGAGAAAGGACACCCCACCTCCCAGCGCAGGCAGGGCCGGGGTCAGAGGCCGCCACTGCCCTCCGAAAGCTGGAGGCAAAAGTGAGAATCCCGCCACTGGGCCGTGCGTGCTGGGCCGTGGCCCCCGCGGTGAGCAGAGCGCTTCACAGTTGGTTTGGCACTTCCACGTGCACAGGCTGTTTCCAGCTGCTCCCAGGGCCTCTGGGGGCGGCCAGGCAAGGACTACGTTCCTGCTGGCGGTGACCAAGCTCAGAGTCAGCGGGGGAAGGGTCTCAGCCCTCCCGGGCTCCATCGGCCACCCACCGGCACACAGCCCCACCCAGGGACGGGTCACTCCCTCTACGCTTGTCGGGACCTGTTTCGCAATGAAAACAGTGGGGGGGGGGGCGGGCGGGCGGGGTTCTTCTGCCACCCTCTGAGTGTCCTCCCAGGGAAGGGCTCCCACTGTCCTCTGATGGGACCTCGTCCAGTGCCCCGCAGGCCTGGCTGAGCCTGCAAGCGGTGACATGCCACTCAGCACCTGGTGGAGGGGCCCTGAGACACCAGGCAGCCAGATCAAGAGCAGGAATCTAGGTCCCAGGGTGCCCTGTGGCAGGCTGCTTCCTCTCTCCGGA